CCGGTGCTATGTTCTTATGCGGTAAGATTTTACGTACCTTTTAAATTTTCATTCTTTCAACCTTTACTGTCAGGTCAAATAAACCTGTGCCCTTATTTAACAATTACCTGAAGAATTATAATTTAAAGCTCAGTTTTTAACAGTAAGTAGATAACATCACGTCTGTAAATTACACTCATTTAATGTTCATCCTTATAATGCTGTTGTACAAACTGTCTTCTTATGCAGCTATCTTACATTTGCAATATCTTTGAAATCCTGTCTGGATCTTTTTAGAGCCACTTATTTCATCTAAAAATCTTCAGTCTGTGAAGAGAATTCACGGCGTCCGGATCTTAAAAAACCTCTCGAACTCGAAAGCTTTTAGAGAACCGGTGAAAGGGAAGAAAACAGTCGAAGTGGGGAGGGGGTCGGGAGAGAAGGGGCTGCTTTTGGCGGCTCTTCCTCGATGGGACATGTTGCTTGCTGAGGCTCTCTGTCCGAAACGGGGAAAATAATGGTTTTCGAACTTGTCCTTAACAGAGCCTTCATTTTTTGCTTCTTCTTCGCTAAACAGCATGCAAAAACTGAGCGTATGTTTACAAGATTTTTATTTTTAAACCCTCAGCTGCACCCATGATATGCCAAGCTGGGTCATGTATCCCTTTCCCTCTCCCTGGGACACCGACTTATTAAGACTTACTAGAAGCCTGGATTTACAATAACAAAGAAAACAAAATATGCTTCATGATTAAGAGTTTTTAACCTATTTAAATTGTTGTCATTTCCAGACGGAAAAGCTTTCATCTCGACGCGGTAAATCGTACGATCCATCCACACCCTGCCCTGAATCAAAATTCGAGAAATTTCCCAAATTTCATTTTTTTTTTTTTAACCATTTAACGGTGCTAATGGAGAGGTTTAATTTGAATGGTTACACCACTGGATTTACTTGTTTTTAGGCCCTCAAAATTTAAATGCATTCCATGTCTTTATAACTGACTCCTTGCCAAAGTTTTTTTGAGGTCAGTGTAAGGTTGCATGGTCGCAATAACAGAGAGATCAGTCTGGGCGGGCGGATTTTTTCAAAGAAACCTCTGACAGTCTAAAGCTGAAGTTATTAAACTTTGACAAATTCCAGATTTAAGCTTCCTCCGTATCAGCGGTAAAGTTTTTGGCGCATTTAAGGTGTTAAGCCCGGGGGGTATTCAACAAAGTTTTATTAAGGGGAGCCTCCTCCGCGAGGTCCAACCGCTAACTCTTTTAAATACCACTTTTGATAAAAAAAAAAGAAGGTATCCCTTTCGGACACCTTCCATTGGGCTTCTGCCATTGGCTAATATCGAGTACCCCTTTCACATACTACTTTTAGATCTTTGCATCCTTTTAATTGCTGTAAATTCACTTTCATCATTAAATCCCACAACCAACTTTTTCACAGCCACAAAAATCCTTCTGGAGCCCTTTTAGGTCATAGTAAAGACCGAAATGACAGATTTCCCTACCCTTTCATATACTTCAACTACTGAAATTCCTAACCTTCCATATACCTGAGGCCTGACAAAAATACCCTTTCGGGCGGAGCCTACCCATATAGACCATTATAGGGACTACCTCGCCCACCTCAGGGTGTTTAGCCATGAAAATGAAGGGTCAGTTAAGGGTCTGCGCTTTATCTCTGCGTTAACAACTACGTACATTTTGGACTATTTATAAAATAAAATGTGCTATGTTTTTTTTTCAGTAACCTGCCTGAAGTGCAATTTCTGTTCAACTTATATCTCGTTTGAGGACTGCATAAAACAGCAGCATACCATTGATTGTCATAAAGGATACCAGTGCGGAAAGTCTTATTATAAATATAATGGGACAGATGTTTATAATTTGTCATGTATCAGTGATTTACATTGCAAGGATCCCGCGGAAAATATGTGCGGACTAAACACGTACATGAGTGATTGTGAAGTAATATGCTGCAATGAAGATCTCTGTAATGCCGCTGCTTCATCTCAAGTGGTCAGCGTTAGTGTTATTGTAGCATGCGGATTTAGTGCTTACGCTTGGACCATGCCCTGATACCATAGGCATTCACGGATAAAGCTGACTACAAATTATAGCAGGCGTGAGTTCTTTTGCCTAGTTAGAAAACGTATAAATTGCAATGGTTGTCTGGCTCCTTCTTCTGGTCGGTGTCTCTAATACGTCATCATTCTCGTACCTAGGGTCTCTCTTCTTCCTGTCCGCTAGAAGTTAGAAGAGAGTGGAAACCTGACGCGGGGTCGACGTCTAATATTACATTTTGATGTTGCACTCCAGACAGCTCCACCGTATAGTAATACAGGCAAATTAATAGTTGTGTTGTAAATACTAAAAAAAAAGTATGCGCTCGTTTAGAGGAAGATATATATTACCTGATCGATCTAAGAAGACTATGCGTTTTGTCAGTTTCTTACATAGTTGTTCAACATGTTAATTAAAGCTGAGGTCTTGATCAACATGGACTCCACGTAACTTGTGAGACTTGTGGTGTTGTCTAATTCTTCCCCTTTACTGGTAAAGATTCTCATCTCATTGACACTGGTACAACCGATTTTAGTGCGTAGCCTAGTTCCAGTTACAAACATAGACTTTGTCTTCTCGATATTCAACTTGAAACGGTTATTTCTAGACCAGTTCTCGAGTTCACGGGTGCTCTCACAGAGCTTAGAACATAGTCCAGAAGTATCTGTGTATGGCGAGGACAAACTCAAAGTCGCAGTATCATCTGCGAAGATGTCAACTGTGGTTGGTTGCGACACTCCCTTGGGAAGGTCGTTTATAAATACCAGGAAAAATCAGTGAAGAGAGTACGGACCCCTGTGGCGCTCCATGCGTGAGAGTCTGGGACGAGGATTGTGCACTTCCGCGGATGACCGTGCGCTGCCTGCAGTTGTGAAGGAAGGAGCGGATAAGACCCAAGCTGCATTCATCAAGACCATAGATACGCAGCTTTTCAATCAGGATGTCGTGGCTTACCAGATCGAATGCTTTTTGGAAGTCGGCCAGAACTAAGCCGTAAATGCGGTTGTCATCGAGATTGAAGAGCATACGATCAAAGATGTTAATTAGGGCTGGCACGGTTGATCTTGCTCTGCGTCGGTCTACTACTGTTGTTCCACCTGTGTCTTTTCCGCCTGTTTCGCTGCCCGCTGCAACAGCTCCGGTCCCTCAGCGTGGTACAGCTTTCGTTAAGTCATCTCCGTCCCCAAAATTTCCTTCTTCCAGTCCTACTGCTCTCCTGCCTGATGCCGCTCGGTCTCGCACAGCGTCTACTGCTGCAAAGTCTGTCTTGCCTACAAAGTTTGCGTTCAAGGTTGACGACCCTCTTTGGGCCGGCACTTCCAGGTGTCGTCTTAACTTTGGCCGATTGACACGTAATATCATGGCTGGTAACACAAGTTTTGAGTACGACCGGTTTGTCAAGTATGTCCATCGTGACATCGAGCGTCCGTCAGAAACTTTGGCCCCTGTCGAGAACAAAAAACTTCCTCCTGGTGTTCCTGCCAAGTTCCCTGAACCTCCTGGCCTGCAGTTCTGATTTTTCCTGTTCTTTACCTTGACGCTGTTTGTTTTTGTTGCTGTTTTGGACTTCCTCCTCTGTTTGGTGGGCGAGATTCTACACCTCCGCAAGTTTGGTGGACTGGTTCCCCCTCCATGACGTTGTGTTGTGATATGTTTTCTGGCTTTTGCTAGTTTGTTGTTTGTCGCCATTGCACTCACCCCATTGGGGGGCGGCCACTCATCTTAAATATAAAAAAAACGTTGTTTGGCGGTGAAGATTCTTTGTTCATCAGTAAATCAAGGATATGGATTTAGAAGTTCCACTGGTTCGCATACAAATATCGGCCAGGCATGGTTCACACACTAAAAAACGACAAGTGCTCGTATACTAGGAAGACATTTTGCAGGGATACAGAGACTAAGTCGTTAGAAAAGTACCGAAAGGCAGACAACAGGCACAATTTATTGAGTAACTTTTGATAAAATTAAGTGTTTATTTTGCTAGCATTAAAAATTGGTGTACAAAAATTAATTCTCATATCTGCGTACTTTTTCATGTGCATCTCTGTAAAATATGCACTCTTAAAGTGCAAATTTGTATTTTATTTCCTCCTCTTATCATCACACTNGAGATTCTACACCTCCGCAAGTTTGGTGGACTGGTTCCCCCTCCATGACGTTGTGTTGTGATATGTTTTCTGGCTTTTGCTAGTTTGTTGTTTGTCGCCATTGCACTCACCCCATTGGGGGGCGGCCACTCATCTTAAATATAAAAAAAACGTTGTTTGGCGGTGAAGATTCTTTGTTCATCAGTAAATCAAGGATATGGATTTAGAAGTTCCACTGGTTCGCATACAAATATCGGCCAGGCATGGTTCACACACTAAAAAACGACAAGTGCTCGTATACTAGGAAGACATTTTGCAGGGATACAGAGACTAAGTCGTTAGAAAAGTACCGAAAGGCAGACAACAGGCACAATTTATTGAGTAACTTTTGATAAAATTAAGTGTTTATTTTGCTAGCATTAAAAATTGGTGTACAAAAATTAATTCTCATATCTGCGTACTTTTTCATGTGCATCTCTGTAAAATATGCACTCTTAAAGTGCAAATTTGTATTTTATTTCCTCCTCTTATCATCACACTCCAGGGGAAGTATTTGTTACGTAGCCTTAAGGGTGAGCCTCAGTATTTCTAGCCTGAGAAAACAGCCGACATTTGGCGACGCCACCACTGGTTTTCCCGCCAAATGACGTCTGAGAAACGAGCGCAGAAATTCCATACTGATGACGTGTCACTACCCGGATCTGGGTAGTACTTCTGATTGGTCGTGCCGAGTGGGAAATTTGATTCAACCAATCAGAGGCACTACCCAGATCTGGGTAGTGACGCGTCATCAGTATGGAATTTTTGCGCTCGTTTCTCAGACGTCACTTGGCGGGGAAACTAGTGGTAGCATCGCCAAATGTCGGCTGTTTTCTCAGGCTACAGTATTTCAATCTTGAGTTCATTCCTCACTTTATTTACATATAAAGAACTTAAAACCAGACCAGCATTTTACATGTCTTTATCTCCACGTGGTGCAGTGAAAGCACTGTCGAAGTTCACACAATAGTTGCAGTGTTCTCTATTGTAACAACTTGTCCACAAATCGCTTCAGCTGTTCAGTGTCTACTGCTCCTTGAAACGAGTCAATAATCTTTCCATTTTTTACGCCAAGTACAGTGGGAACCGCTGTCACCTAACCAAGAAAGAAAACGTCAACATTCACGTATAAAGTCGAACCTTTGCTAACGGTAATTAACAGCCAACCCTAAAGCAACATCCTCGAAACTCTGGACCAGCCAACAGCCCCTACATGTATGATACGGCACCTGTATTCTTTGGAACGTGTGCGCGGCCCACGTAGAACGTGGCAATAGGAAATATCACGTCGTAGTTGAGCAGGGTAAAGAAATACACCAAAAAGAGCGATGCAAGTGCAGAGCTAGTGTTCTGCTTATTAAACCTATTGCCTTTGGAAGCTGCCGTCGTCGACTTCGTTAACAGAGACTTTTTATAAGATACTAAGACGAGTGCGACTACGCGTAGCACTGCGCGCGCACTACTACGCGCGTGAGTGCGCGCATGTGAACCAGTTTTTTGGCAGGCAAATGCGATAGCCGTCGTCACTTAACTACGAGATGACGTAGTGGCGGAAACAAGTTATCAAACGCTAGAAGTTTGCACTTTCTCATTTTGCAGACGGCAGAGGGCTTAACCTCCTTCGATAAAAATAACCGTGCTTAAACTTTTCTGGAGAAAAAAAAAAAAGAACAATGAAGCTTTCCGGGGTGTCTATACTTATAAGTATTCCAAAAACGTCAAGTTAAATCTCGTCCTTGTGGTAAACCTCGACCTCTTCCTTGAATCTAAAGATCTCTTTGAATATACCTTGGCGACTTCAACTCACTTTTTTCTATGACAAACACCGCTCAAAATACATTTGAAAATGGATCAGCCGTAGGGTCTTCAGAATTATTTGGAAGATAAGATCCCCACAAATCAGTTCTCGTAAACCCTTTTAAAAACCTTGACTGGTAAAATCTATCCCATTTTGTATACCTGAGCAAAGCATCCTTTACACTAGTGCAAAGAACTCCCGTGGTAACAGTCCATTATACAGAAACGTAGACTGGAGACACTCTCTTTTGCACTACCCTCCCCCACCCTCGAAAGTCAACGAACCCCCCAGCCACAAATTGACCTATGGCTTAGGACATTATAGGGAAGCTTACATGAGGTTCATACTACCGAAATTTTCTTTTATCATTATAATAAGGAAATAATCTTTTTCAGTGCCTATACGTGCAAAAATGTTCCAGAAACAGTACAAATATAAAAAAAAAAACAGTTCGAATTTTTAGAAAAAATGGGCTACATTTCAAACTAAAGCACCAAAAAGGTCAAAAGCACTGGCGATCAGTGCAGTAACTGGGAGAGTTGGCACATATGATGTAGGGAGTACACTCTGGGGTTATCTGAAGATACTCACTTCATATTGAAGAGCTAAATCAGCATTATTATCTATGTCGACTTTGGCCAGTTCTAGCAATCCATTCTTTTGCCCAACAATATCATCTAACTTTGTGGCCAACAACTTGCAAGGATGGCACCACCTAAAAAAAGAGACAAAATTTATGTACTTTTCTATAGGTCATAAAAATCACAAAAAAGCAAACTGGTAACTGTGATGTGCTCCTAGTTTTGGTATACAATGGAACAATTACAACATTAAAGCTACAAAATAGAATAATTTTTTTAAACTAAAATTATATTCAGTAGAATGGGACAAAAAGTACCTGAAAAAAATTAGAATTTTAAGAGCTTGATGCAAAGTCATACAAATTTTTTGTGCACCCTTCAATCTCATTATTAATAAAATAATAAGAAAAGGCTGTAAATTATAGAAGCTGGCGATAAAAATTTTTAAAATCAAGTGACCTATAACAAGTGAAAACAATGTCAGTTGATGTTAGGAACTGCAATATTCTACAATATATTATCTACAAGCTTGTTTAAGTGATTCACCCAGTATTCACTCTAGACTTGTGCCACATTGACCTCTTATTGTCAGTGAAAAGGGGTAAAACTTTGTCAGTTACCATATAAAGCCTTAATGAGGGTACGAAGTGATTCAAGTGGGGATTCATTTGTGAGAGGTCACCTTGTCCCACTTGAAGGATTTTGAATCTAGTTTTCCATCCAAATCAAAGTCAGGGGTTGGCACTTTCACTTTGTGAAAGCTTTTTTAATTATGATTCAGCCACCTACTAGCAGTCTAGATATTATCAAAGGGATTTTATACATCTGTAGTAAATTTTATAACCAGCATAGAATAAATTTTAGTATGCCACCATGACACCTCCCTTAAAAAAGGCAACTTTGTTACTTTACTTCTTCAACATTATTTCATCAGTATCAAGAGAGATAGCCTGTGTACAGACCCCCTCTCCCCTCAGTAAAAATCGGAGAAGGGGTGTCTGTGATTCACTGTTGCTAATCGTGTATGGAGGCCACGTGACTTTTCCTGGAATGTGTGGAGAATAATTTGATGGCTGTTATTCGTAGATCACTACATCATGTAATTGAGGGATTTTAATTGGCGTTAGGGCCCGTCGTCAAAACATAGCAGGTACATGTTACCAGAAAATTATTAGACTGCAAGCATAATGTCCCATCACTCTCTCTTGACTAAAATGAACACACGTTTGCAGACCTCTCCAGAAAACCAACTTCTGATTAATTTCAAGCATTTAATTGGTCTAAAAATAACTTTGGGAAATTCACATATCCCAAGGGCTCAACTGGGTGTTTCCTTCTTTGTCCTATCATTCTCTCTTGTCGGTATACCCTATGGTTATAAGCTTCTACATGCAACACCAAAAACAGCTATGAGAGTTCAGAAAAGCAAAAAGAAAAACCAGTTAAGCAGAGAAAAGTTTAAAAAGAATTCCTTCATACTCAGCATGGAAGTCCACAAGGACAGGCTTTGTAGAGGCAAGAACTCTTTTTTGAAAGTCCTCACTATTCTTCACATCAAATGGGGCTCTAAAAAATGATGTTGTTGTGATGTGAGCTGATGTTCCAGACAAGTACTTTGGGGAAAACAGAGCTCTGTGATGAGATGTCAAACGATGAGCCATTCTTTATTAGATACCTAGAAAAAATTTTTGAATTCAGTCATTACATTTCAAATGCATGCATACATGTGTTTAATCAGATGGGCCTAATTCTTTGTTTGCAAACATGTGACAAGGCGACAAAGTTGGGGGTCAATACAATTTTTTCTCAAAGAATTTACATGAAAATAGCGTTTAGTTCCCAGAGAGAAATGCTTTTATTCTTGACCACCAAGAGGGGGGTGAAGGGGAGTACAAACACTGCAAAACGACACAGAAATCTATATAAACACCACACAGAATAACATAAGAAACCCACAAACCGCATTGAAATTACCCAAAAATTTCTATATACCGCAAACCGCTTGGTTTTGTAAAAACGCAGTGACGCAAATTAAAATAAAAATTTCTGCAAAATCGTACCCAAAATCAAGCAAAACCGCATCACCGCAAACCCTTACGCCCCCTCCACCAACATGTCTACTGTGACGTCTTGTGCAAACCAGTAACTAGGGGCATAGCACATGGTTCATACAACTTCAGACGAACAGATAGCAGAGGCACTGCAGATTAAGCCATAGATGTGGAAAGCATCCCTATGTTCATCTGGCCTTGGTTGTACATGTTCAAAGGCTGGATAGCTCTATCCACCGGATAAATCTCTATCCGATGGATAGTGCAACTAGTTTCCCCAGTACTTATCCGCTGGATAGTGATTTATCCGGTGGATGGTGCTATCCAACATTTTAACAACCAGGGCCTGGGTAAAAATCTTTGCTAAAAAAAAAGTGCACCTTAGAGGCCTCAAACACAGTTAGGGCACATTCACGCCACATTTCACTCATTTCTAGCCTAAAGAATAATTCTCACACGTTTATTGTAGTCGTATAAATAATTATTAATTAGCTAAGTTGAGTTGTGTTGCTTAGGCCGGCTCTCATAGTGAGCTTGGGCTACCTGTGGTTCCATGCCAATATTGCAATATAGCCTTTTAGCTTGATGTTTAAATTATTTAGCCTATCAGCATTTTTACGGTATATTTATGTAGCTTCAAATTAATTATTTTATTTATTGACACTTTTCTTGAACGTCTGACAATGATCGGTTTGGGTGAATGTCACGACAAACATGAAACAACTCAGACATTCACACATCGATCCCCAATCGGTTTCCTTTCAGTCAAAAAAAGTTCAACCCCGCGAGTTAATACCGTTGTAACCTGAGAGAGTCAGCTTACCTCGTAGATAATGCCTTAAAACCTGCTGAAACCCTGTTTCCAACAAAATTTGAAGCCGAAATTTTACAACTAGCCGGGATCTTTAGACTTTAGACTTCAGGCAATCACACTGGTTTCCAGGTTTTTCTCGGGCCAAACAGCTACATGGGATTGTTCGTCTCAGTTGCCATGCAACGCAAATATGGCGGACAGAGGGTACAGAGAGTGTTGGGCTTTAACCAGACTTTGAAGCAAAGCAAAACAACGTTACACGTTTTCGTCGTCAGATTCACCATGAAAATAAGTTATGGCAATCAAAGGCCTTTCGGAGGAACAAAAAGCTGCTTTGGCCGAAATAGTCTCTTCGGAAACTCTATTTGATATTGAAGAATACATCAGACCCCAATTTCCACCCAAAGGAGCAAGCGATGAATTGAAAAAAGGACAAAGCGATTTACCAAGCATAAACTTATACTCTAGAAGGCGTATCGTTCAAGATGGACACGGAAGATGGAGGGAGGTGAAACCTCAACTTTACTCTAGCAATTTACAGCCGCTTTCATCACCGGCAACAACAAACGTGAATAAGAAAACGACGAGGAGAGATGAGGAGAGAAGAACTGTTGACAGCAGACTTTCTCGCCACAAGGACTCAGTCGATGATAGTTCACTAAAACCTTCTGGAAACTATAACAATCTGTCAATGGCGTTGAGATCTAACGTTTTCCCGGGCCTAGGCAACAATCAGTGGCATAGTACAACAGCTAAAGTTTTCAAGGAGCAGCTGGTTATACCATCATCACAGAGGGATAAGTTCTTTGGAATTCAGACTGATGGGTTTGGACAGTGGTCTGCAGCTAATGTACATCATGAAAGAATGAAGAAAAAGTGGGATGCCTACCTTGATACCTTACCTAAACAGGCAGGTAACTGTTAATTGCCTTCTAATTTTCTCTGGTCAAAAAGCAGAAGAAGTAAATTGATAACTCTATATACTGAGCCTGGGTTTAAGTTGCCAAACAGCTCTTTTGACTGATTACACAAAGAAAAATAGATCTCTAGAGAGAGCACATGTTTACAGTTTTTGTTATTTCTGTTGTGCACTTGCGATTTTGTCGGCATTATGTCAACAGAGAAAAGAAAAATCTAATGGAGATTGCTATGTCTACTTTTGTCAAACTCAAGTGTGATTTCTTGCATCATGGAAGAAAAACATTTTTGATGCAAAAGGTGACGCTTATTTATCTGACGCATTAAGTTGTGCTTCACCTTCATATATAGCGTGCTGATGACTAGCGTGGAAAAGAAAATGAAGTGTGACTTCTTGCATCAAGAAATAATAATCCTTTCAATGCAACAGATCACACTTATTATAAAGCACGCTGATGCTCATAATTACCCCTTTTCTGCAAAAAAATATCTTTTGACTGGAAAAAAATAATAAATTCATTTGATAAATTGACAAGCAGCAACTAGAGGATAATAGACATAGACTCTCCGATGTTTGCAAACTATTTTGTATCTGGCCTTCATAATTATCGCTTTTCTTACTTGCCGACATTACAGACACGACCTGTCTGCATAGTGTCACAGTTTCTATGGAAACTGTAAACACAACAACTGCCTAGAAGATTTTGTTCACAGTTGCACTACAGGCACAACATGGTGATGTGTTCAGACACTGGTTACCTGGTATTGTGTTTTGTACAGCTTTGCTCCACTTCACTCTAGCAGATGACACTGGATTTTTCTAGTCTTCAATTTTTAACACACAAGTTTTTAGTATGTTTATTTGCCAAAAAGAAATTTTATCCCACAATAATCAATTGAACATTTTCCATAATTCATTATTGCAATGCTCTTAAAAGATTTTGATCAAAGATAAATTGTAATTGATGATCGGCACATACACCACTAGGGTCTAGTTAGTGCCAATCTGGGACCCACATCACATTTGTACGAACTAGTGAATAACATTAGACCTGTATTGTATTATAACTAAACACACAATTATGGGCCAATACTTATTTTTTTTCACTCATTGAACGGGCCTGCCATAATTTTTTCAGTTTTAATCCTTTTAGTAACATTTCTTTCTAATTTATTTTTTAATAAAGCAGACTGGAAACCTCAAGTACCAAAAGAGGTAACTCAAAAGGTAGAGAAATGTCCTCCTCAAGCTAAAGTCAAGAAATCCAATCTAAAACCAAAGCCACAGAAGAAGGAACAAAAACCTTCAAGCACTGAAAAAACAGTTATGCCTGAGGAAATTCCTCCTCCTTCCTTGCCGCCTCCGATTGACATTCCTGCTGATGATGATGACGACAACTTTTGGGACTTTTATGATAAACCTTTTAACAAACCAGCATGAAATAATCATAGCAATTTACTGCTTATTAGCTTATTCAAGGAAAAAACTATTGATTGGCAGAATTTATTGTTTAGTTTACTGAAAATCAGTTCTAAGAGCATCATACAGAGAGACTGCCAAAGAGATTAGAAGTGTATGGCCATACCACAGGATTGTGTCCATAGTTTGATTCAATAGCAGTGGTTCCTCAGAAAGTCTAGTCAATCTCAACAGTCTGCATGGCAGGAGCATGAAGAAGGGGAGTAAGGGGAGAGGAAATCTGCATGCCTGCCTCATCTTCCTCTTCTGATGCCTGCCACTCTGGGTAGACACTGTTACTCACTGTGAAGCTGCCACGATAGTAACTATATAAATATGAAATACACCACCAATTTATCTGGACTGAAAAGACAGAGATTATTGAGATTTTCTTTTTTTAATACAGTGATATTTTATAAGTTCAAGTTGTACAATAATTATAACAAAATATTAATGCAATTTTATTTTAATCAAAGTTCAACAATATTATTAAAAGAGGTAATGTGAAAAATGAAATACATGTACTCGTGGAGGTTTACACAGGATAAACATAGCTGTGTTTATAAAGTTGTTCCTGTGTTACATGATAGACCAATAAAAGAAGCTCTTGATGAGTTCTAAAGTAAAAAAAAAAATCCACAGAGAATAGGTTGTTTGTTTTCTTATAACAGATATCTTTTGCATATAATAAGTTTTCTTTAATATGTTATCAGAAAAATTGAAACTTTGACACAGGTGCTGGTTAGCCATGCAAGCAATTCCCCATTTAGCCTGTTCCAGGCTCCAAGATAGTGAGAAATGCAGATTGAGAAAAATTGGGCAAAACCATGTGGGGGCTGGGAAGAGACAGAGTAATGGAGCCTGTAAGAATTGTTTTCAATACCTCATTCCAGCATATATACCAGCTCTTTTTTATACCCTATGATTGGTCAATTGTCACAGTTTACTTGTTTGACACCTACATCAATTATTATTTGGCTTCACAGAGCACAGAGTCTAACAAACATGTTGAGCATGTGAAACCCCCAACAATGGTTCCTCTTGACATTTTGCAATTTTGACACGAGAAATGGTATTTCAGGAAGTGACAGGGTAGTGGGCAGATTGAGGCATTTAGAAAATATTGCCTACAGGCCGTCCCCTTTATCTTTCCGCTCTTTTTCACTCATTTGCTATTTCACTGCTCACTCGCTTCTTTTGCTCCCCTACACTGACCAAGAGCCTGGTACGAGCTATTCCTCATTATTTAACCTATTTTTTATTATACAGAAAAATATGAGATTGCTCATAAAACAAAAATTAGCTTGAATGCTCTAGCTGTAAGCCTCAACAGAAGAAATACAGCATAAAATGTTAATATAGTTTGAAACGTACACTACAATACAGATTAAAATAAATATTGAACAGCATACTATGGACATAACAGACATTTTCAACATCATCAGGTTATGCGACAAAAATGCCCCTTGAGTTTACTGTCACATTGTGGAAAGGATTTCATCTGCAATCTGGGTTTCAAGTGGTCCTAAAGCTGCAATAAACATAAAGTGAAACAGAGATGAAGAGGAAAATTTGAATGCTGTTGCAGAAGAAAGTGATCTCTTCCTTGAAAGCTTAAAATTGTATGTGATTGTGCACGCAAAGATACAAATGGACTGTGGCTTCTTTTTTGCACGTTTAGTAAATTACTCAATACAATATGCAAATGTTTCTTGCAATTACATTTTGCAAAGAACTCTGTCATTAGATTGGCAATTATAATTTATGAAAATTTAAGAAACTCTGCAGTTTTCATTTAGCTCAACAGCCATTTGCAGTTATTTTCAAAGCATGTTTCCCACAAGATTCAATCTGTAGGAAATGGACAGCAACTCTAGCCACTGCAGAAAGTCTTCTGGAAAGCCACATGACATGCATGGCCAATAACATTATTAGTCAACCTATGTATTAACAGTGGACTCTCTCTTAATGTCGAGACATGTATTTTAAAAGGACAGAAATCTTCCTAAATTGGACACCTACAACAGGTCAGTTGCTGTTCTAACAGTCCTTTTCTTTGACTCTGTATCAGGCAGACACTTCTCTAACATGAACACTTCATAGTGGTACAATGCAGATACTAGCAATGTCTATCTAAGAGAGTTGACAACTCGCATTTTAAAGCAAAAGGAAAATAAAAACAATCAGGTTTAATTGAGAAAATTACCTCCAGGCATCTCTGGAAAAACAGTGTCTTGTCCGTTATCAAAAATGCCAACAATATCAACATCATTTTCTGCACCATTAGCGACAGTCTTGAGGGGTGAGCTGCCTTCTGGAAGCAAGTCAGTTACAGGAACTGTTGTACTTGGTATGGGACCAGGGGAAAAGGCTGAGGATAACTGATCATCTTCAGAGCTTGATTGGACTGCAAAGGAGAACACAGTCACATAAATTATAGAAAATAAAGGAAAAGGAGGGAAAAAAAGTACAAAAATTATTATAGCACACTCAAAGCCAAAGCCAAATCAACTTAGGAGTCCCAGCTTTTTTGTCACTGAGGCCACAAAAACCTATAAGGACATATGTAACTAGAGTAATTTACCAGTTGACCCATCAGCCCTCAGAAATTTTGCACAGAAAGAACATTTCAGGTTAGCTGAGCCACTTTTAGTCACTATCAGGTGTAATTAAAAGAACAAAAACATTGTTTACAAGTCAGCACTAGGATAGCTACACTGCACTTTGACAAGCTGGCAGTTTTGTTTGTATGGTTTTGCTGCCAGTTGTGGTTCAGATTTATCCCTGATTTAAATTTTATCTTCCTCTTGTTCTTGGTATGGCAGTTTCAAACAATGAAGAACAGAATTTAAACGAAGGAATATAAAATTGAAGCAAAACAGATATGTAAATTAAGGCCACTCAAGATTCCACTGGCCTAAGTGATCTATGCATGAAACAAAATAATTCTGAGATGCTTATAAACCTCACTAAGGCCTTTGGCTATTTCTTTGTAAGGAAAACATCCCAGAGACATTAATATTTTCATTTTTGACTTGTAATGTGATCATTTCCAGCTGACTTTAACTTAATATAAAGCCACACACTGCCAGTGTAAATAATTATTTATATAAACTGAAGTGAAGTGGATAAGCAAATTGAAATAAGATTGGAACTGTTCATACCTTCTGTTTTCTTTTTCTTAGCTTGCGGTTCACTGGATGGTGCCTGGGTCTTTTCCTTGTTTTTTTTCACATTCTGTGAGGAGGCCTCCTGCTCATGAAGCCTTTTTTTGAGAGCAGATTTTATTTGAGCTCTAATTTTTAGGAAAGAAGGGGAAATAGGACGTAAACCAAATTGCAATGATGACAACTAGGACACACTGTCACTAAGAATTCAAGTTGCCTAGTACATGCTATAGACCTTTCCTGCATTATGCTCCAGTGAGCAAACGTAAAGAAATGAGGACAAGGCTCGGGTAGACAATTTCATACAAATCAATGGATTTTGTCCACCTGAGTCTCAAGTTGGTGCCTTTGTAATTACAGGAATGCGGGAAAGGTCTTTTAGAAGGAGGGGAATTGAATAGCTAGGAAGATCATTTGGTTCTATTTTTCTTTTGTTTTCCATGAAAGTAGCCAGGGGTCATGCTCATGGTAGCTGACGGAGATTCCCGGTGCCTGACCCTTAGTGATAGCCGCCCTGTGGCAGCACAGCAAGATCCATGATGTGGGTTTTTATCTATCATGATGGTTATCACTAAAAGTCCATTTCCTTATCCCATTCGCCCCTGAACCGCCCGTAACCGCCCGTGCGGATCCAGGTCCTTTCTACTCTTTGTGACGTCATCAGTTTTAACGGTCAAGGACAACTTTCTTCCCTAACTTGTGCAGAGTAAAGAGATCTTTCAAACCATACCAGAATGAGCACAATTCAGTCAAGGACACCGGAGAAAGAAGCAAAAAACCACATGACATTGACCTGAAAATCTCCATGAAAATCTTGTTCCATTACCCACCTACCTTTCCTTTCACCTAATCCTAAGATCCTAAAAGCTTTCCTAAAAACTCTTCTGGACCTGAAAATCTCCATGAAAATCTTGTTCCATTACCCACCTACCTTTCCTTTCACCTAATCCTAAGATCCTAAAAGCTTTCCTAAAAACTCTTCTCACCAAAATGAAGCATACTTAATACCCAGCAAGAGAAAAAAAAAATGAGGCAAGAAAAGTGAAAAAAGAAGGAAGGAGAGAAAGCGAAAAGTAAAAGTCAAGACTGCTGTGTCACTTTTAAACCCAAAAACTATCTCGAAATTTTGCTCTCTGCGCATTCCCGAACTTCGCAAGCTAATATTTTGCATCTGCATCAGAAGGCCGCGAAGTGTACGACCTGTAAACCGGTTTGTGGTAAGTTTTAGCTCTTTATAGCACGACAGTGACCAGAAAACCACTTGACTAGCTTCAAAACGCGTTTTTCGGCAAAATCTCCAAGAGCGAATGGGTTAAGTAATGAAGTTCTGCTTCATGGAAATACTGGTAGGTTTCAAATGACTTGATCTTGAATTAATTCCCCCTTTGTTTTACAAAGTAAATGGTGTAAATAATAAATACTCACACAGACTTGTTCTTGACCTGACCACTTATCTTCTTTAAATCTTCTCCAAATCTTTTTACTGCATTCCGCAACAATTCAATCTCCTCATCTCCCCATTTGCCACTATTGCTGAAATGATTCAGATCAATAAAATCAACTACAACCGAGACAGGTGAGAAAAATGTCTTTTAAGATCCTCACACTGTGTATTTGCAATAATTATTCCAAACTGCATACTGTACACAATGTAAACCTTTGTACTTTTAAAGGAAGATCAATGGGCAAGATCGGTGGGCATATTTTTATGCAATTTTAGAAAGTACAATAGCTACACTTGTAAATTACACTTGTAAGAGTTTTATTAAATCGACCCCTGTTATATATTCATTCTTGTTAAAATTTTTTCGTTTATTAAACAATCACAAATCAATTACAGTAACTTTCAAATTTACAGAAATTATTTAACAATATTTACTATCTACCCCATAATTACAGGTCATCTAATATTATATTTCTGATATATATTCATGGTATTAGCACCTTGTATTTGCATTTGAGGGTGATGTCAAACTAGCCTCATTGTTTAAAGGATGCAGTTGCATTGTCAGTTCTCCTAAATGTGAAAAGGCTTCTCCAGCAGCCGTGAATATTTCAGCTACCTATAAATAAACAGGGCAAGTTTAATAGAAATTTCTCTGTACAAAAATAGGTCTTCCATTTGTATTAAGTCAATTTTTCCAAGTTGAAAATGACATATTTATTATCACAGATGTCACCTCCATTTTCAGGGCTCACATGATGCTACATAAGAGAGCTTAAGTAAAGGCTTTTTTTGAACGAAGCACATCAACCCAAAGTGAGATCTCTCTCATTTTAAAACAAATTGAAAATATCAAATTTGTATTTCTTAGCCCCTTTCTTAATATAGAGACAATTTGTCCAAAAATTTGGGCAAAAATATTGCTCAAGAAGGAAAAAAGTCCACTTCGTTCCGGTTCAGTGTGTCACTCAAAAATGTCTTTGCTTAAGTTAACTAATGTCACCCCCATGACTTTTCCCTGGTTCCAAATGGATGCTCCTATTCCTGACCTACCAGTAACCTTACATAATAGCCGATTCTTCAAAACTCAAATACTGGTTTTCCATCGAAATGATCTTTGAGGAATGACCACAGAAATTCAAATACTGATGATGCATCACTACCCAGATCTGGAAGTGCTTCTGATTGGATGAGGCAAATTTTCAACCAATCAGAATTCAGAAGTTCCACCCAGATCTGGGTAAGATTATCACATAAGATCAAGTGCTGGCATCATGAAATTCTGGCCATTTTGTCATGCTACCTTAGCAGGTAGAGGGTCATTTTCACTTACTGTATTCATGCATAGGCTTACTGTTAGGATTAAATAAAGAAAGTTCAGGGGATTTAGTCAGTTTCCTTTTATCCATCTAAGTTCCTTGATTTTTCTTTCATCTTATATGATAATCTTATACAAAAAATGTTTCTTCACATATGGCATGTTTTCCTACTTATTGCAAGCATATAAATTTGCACATACAAAAAATATATCTTTCCTTACCTTTGCTGCAGACGAACTCATGTTTGGGTCACTTCACTTCAGTGCATCACAAACCTAAATTCAAAGAGTGTAATTGTGCAGAAGATACATCATCACGTATAAAATATAAACATAAACATAAAACCTTTATTTTGACATGATAAGAGTTAAAGCTAAAAAGCTTGTAGGGTCGTGTATATGTTGAGGTTCAGTTTTATCCTTGGTTTAAATTTTATTCCCCTTTGTTTTTGGGTATGGTAATGTATGATAATGTGTTTGAAACAAAGGAAAATGAAATTTAAACCAAGGATAAAACTGAACCACAAAATACACATACATTTACTAGTAACTAAAATGCATTAACTGAAATATATACATTAAAATACTAAAAATAATATACGTGAAAACTTTTGCCATTAAAGTCATCCTGAAGTAATCAAAGTTTCTTTATAAATAATATAATATAAATAACACGAGCAACAGATATACAGATCATCCGTTGAGTTTTAAAAGGTCGAAAAACGTGAATCATGTACAAACCTAAGCTAACAATCAGTGCATGGCTTATCGACAAGGAAATATCAGGTTTTGTGCCCGGTATAAATATAGCTTCATCATTAAATGCCAATATATACCTTTCAATCCTTAGATTCCTCACATCTAACCGAAATATGACCAAAAATTCTTTCTCAAAAGGAGAAACAATTCAGCACGCTATTGATTTTGTTCCGACCGCCATTTTGTAATCACATTAGCTCCCAGATTCTCGATGGATAAATTAACCGCGCGACCTGAGCCTGGGCACCGAATGCAAGTTGCTAGCAAATCAGGGCTAAAAGCGAAGCTCTCATTGATATACTTAAAGTTCACTCAAACAAAAAATATCAAAATCGTGTGATGGTAACAGAACGGCTGAAAAAAACAAACAAACAAACAAACAATTGGTTTAATTAGCAAAAAACAACAGTTGCACATGCAGCACACTTTTTTGCTGTTGTTTTGCACCACTACAGCGTGGAACTTCCAAATTACGCGTTTTATGAACAGGGAACAGAGGGAACTTAAGCAAACTTCGTTTTCGAGCGACGCACGTGCATGAACGTTTTACATTCCTGAGCAGTGTAGTTTTGTCCAAATTTCCAGTTAAATCGTCTCTACAAATGCAAAAAAACTAAGCGATACTAATTTTATAGCGTCAATGCCTGTATTAAAAGGCAAAAGTCCTCACTTCAGGTTGAAAACAAAAGACAAAAAAGCCTTTGCTAAAACAGTCTCTAATGTCGTATGTGTTCCTGTTCGCTTTTTTTTTCTTCACCGCGGCTCATTTTCACCTCGTTGCCGCTTGCATTCAGTCTCTTTTTCTCACCGGCACTTTAAAATTTTCATCTTTTTCTTTTAACGAAAGTCGTCGCCTTTTTATGTTTTATCTCTCGCTATAGAGATAAAGAATCATCAATTTTTGAAGGAGGCAAATTAATGGCAGATAGATATAGCCCTGTCTCCGTTGTCCACGACACTGTAGACATTAAAATTTAGTCCCAAAAAAAGAAACGGCTCACGCAGTTGTTGTTTTTTCTCTCTAAAAGTCCGAGTGGCCTTGCGATTTTACCTCATCAAACCGCGGGGTTGAAATCCAAAATTTCATCCCCAGTGGCTTACATGAAGGGGTGGACGTACGTATGTAAACGGACGATTTTGTCAGAACCAAAATTTCGTGGATGGATAGACAGCCAAGTTTTCTTACCTATGGTGCTCCGCTTCACCCGCTTCGCGCGCTCGAGGGCCCCGCTCAAAAGATGCGTTTTCGGATACATGTTCAGTGACGGTCGAAGACCAGTCATAAAATAAGGATGAGTGTATACACAGACTAAACTGAGAATATACCGAAGTTTAACGAGCTTTGACGGGAGGCCGCTAAGAAGGAAAAAGAAGCGGCAAAAAATGTAACCAGGCCTGGTGACATAAAATAAAGCAATGAAAAAATGCTCTGATACTTTAAGGAATGAAAAATAAGGTGGATTTTACAATTGTTTTAAAAAATTGTTCCTTAAAGAGACTGTTTTGTTGAATTCAATCAGTTTTCAGAATAAGTAAAAATTTTGGAATTCAGTGAAAAAAGCATTGACTTAACTAGTTTAGCTGTGGAAGATTTGTTTGTTCACCATTATCCCTTACTTTGCTCATTAAATCAGTCTTGCCTTTGAAGTAGAACGCGGCCTTCTTTTGTTTCGAGGGAGGAATTAAACAGCACTTAACTCTTTATTTATCTTTCTTTCCTTTTTGTTGAAAGTCATTTGGTTTTTACTAGTGTCCTAAGATTAATTAAAAAAAGTAATCGTGACAGTGATTATTGACTTTGGGTTAATTATCTTTAGCAAATTTGACATTCGTCAGGTATTCATTTTTCAGAATCGGAACCAAAAACGTTATTCTAATGAGTTCATAAAATTTTAATTGAGGCTATTTGCATACTAAAGATAAAAGCTAAATACAATACTGATGACACAGTAAAGTTGAGACCTTGTTTTGGTATAAAATGGACGAAAAACCTCTGAAGGGAGACTCGTTCGTGGCACGAGATTCCCAGCATTATAGATCCGACGAAATAAATGGGAGATTTGTAGCTCGAGGTGTAATTGCTACTGTTATTGCCTTAATCATCATACTTACCATTTTGGTTATTGTTTTGGGCTCTCTTCTTGGAAAGGCAAGGTCTGGAGGCGAGGTCGACGATAAATGTAAAGGCAAGTGGCTGTTATCTTATAAGCTGGCTCATCCAGCCGCAGATGAAACTAAGATGTACGTTGTACTTAACAGTTGTTACAAACGACGTTCCACAAATGTAGAATTTCACTGCATGTAGTTTTCTAAAGTTATAATCACACATATAGATCATGAGTTACAGAAATAATCATGAACGGAATCTAATAATCACATACTACCTCACCCGGCTACTGATTTGCTTCACATGCGCTATTAGTTTAGAAATTAAATAACCCTAAGCTGCAAACGAAAGCTATGTATTAATTAAATTAAATGAGGTTGCTGCAGTAGTACAGAAGTAACTTCATTTCAGAAACGTTTGACTTATCACAAGTGCCTTGTACACGGTATTCCAAAAATGCCGCATATTGATTATTCCTAGCCCTGAAGCTTATCTAGATAAAATACGGCTTAAATTTGCTCACTCGCTTAAATATTGCCTCAGTTCTAGAAAGGTTTAAGTCCCCGCAAAAAGGTTACCAGAATCGTTCTGTACTACAAAAGGGTTTTATATAGTTGGCAAGAAATCAAGGTTATCTGTGACCCTATGAGGACATATTCAGCTAACATTGTGTAAGAAACTGATGAGCGCACGCCCGCCTTTTTGATCTCCATGTTAAATGCTAGATCACGCACGCTTCATAGTATTGGCTCAAGATAATTAAGTGAAAAATTAGTATGAGGTATTGATTGTCTCTCAGCTCATGTGTTTTAAAACGTTTTTTAAAGAAAGTATTGCTTATTTGCTAGCTTTTCTCGTTGTTTCCTCCTTTCTTTCCTAAGCTGTCTATCAATTATCTTCTTATTTGCGTCTTATCTGTATGTCATTTTTAAAGTTCTACCTTATTGGCCAATTCAGTTTTTAAATTTTGCACTTGTATCAAATTTCCAACTGTACAGTTTTCATACGACATGTATTTAAATTGTAACGACTTTTCCTTTCTTCAGTAAATTCCCTGCAAAAGCACGGCTTGTAATTGTCCGTCCGAAATATCGGGAAATCTCTAGTCGCTTTTATCTTTGCTGTAATGGCTTTTCAGTTACTAGTGTTTTGAGGTAGTATTCAAAAGATTAAATTTAGATCTGTATACAATGACCGTTCAAGGATTCTTTATCATTTCTCCTATTTTAAGTTTCTTGGAGAAGAAGCCGGATCTGGATTGCAAGTCTCAGGAGATAATGAAATGCATGCAATTCAGTTGTTGTTTGTAACGTTTGAAATCATGTTGTGGAGACATAAATATTCACCACGAAGCCGGAATTTTGTCACTCATTTCCCAAGTTCCATAACGAATAAGAACGCGTAGCTAAGTAAAACGTTACTAACAAAATAGCCTGTGCCAGGCTCTCAGATAGTATAGTGGGAACGTCCCCAGCCCCAGCGCGTTTTTCGCATTTCTTATCACTGAACGACTTTCCACCACCATCTAGGAGCCTGGAACAGGCTACTAACAAAATGAAGCAGCCAGCCGTGACACAAACCCTTTAACTCCCGATTGCTAAAGAGAATGTTGATCAATTTTCAGCCAATGAGTAGACTTAGTTTCTTTAAAATGTCCAGTGACATAATTTTCCTTCCTTTCTTAAGAACTGCTAACAACCTCAACGCCGCCGCAGATTCAAGTTTCAACAGTTGACCCGCCTACTCCCGGAACAGAGCCATGGTGGAACGTACGCCTTCCAAAACATATTATTCCCAGACACTATGACGTCATCATATTCGTTGATCTAAAGAACTTTACGTTTCATGGTAACGTAAGCATCTTAGTTAACGTTAAAGAGCGGACCGAGTATATATTGCTTCATACTAAGGAGCTAGTGGTCACTTCAGTGGCAGTTTTCCGATCCTCTGGCGGTAAGTAAAATGCTATGAAGTAAGTAAAAATGGGACACGGTTGATTAAAAAGTTTCTTCCTCTTCTTTTCGGTCAAGTGAGGGTCCTGATTAATGATATGGCTACGACTATTGGCTATATTTTTTTCCCGCGTGAGGAAAACTTCCCATCTATGTCTACCAGACTTTGCTTTGTATTCCTGCAAGGGATATTGAATTATTTATTAGTAATATTGTGAATACATGATATATGAAGGAGCCCATCAAGTGTTAATAATGATGATGATGATGATGATGATGATAATGATCGATGTTGAAGATGGTATTTTTTTGTGTTTTATTGCCTCAGGTGAAATGGTCGTAAAGGAGCACTTCTGGTTTAAGACGAACCAATTTTACGTGATCCATTTAGAGTCCTGGTTAGAGTCGGGAGAGTACATTATAAAAATGGTTTTTAAAGCAGATTTGAAATCAGATCTAGGAGGATTTTATAGAATGGAGTACAAGCGGAACGACGGGACAATAACGTAAGAGCTTGAACTTTCCTTAACTTTGCACACCTTACAACCTGTAGCTCTCACATCATCGCCTTTCGTATACCACCTCTGACTCCATGCATTGTGAAAGCATTTGGATTCACGACTGAATTACTGCATTGAACTTTTTGTGTTAGTATGAGCCCGATCCATCAGCCAAATTCTATCATTATAACACATACTATCAACGGCAAACCTTACACTGCAACTTAAACTTTGAGTGATCAACGGATATTTTGTTCTCACCGTATTTCCTCGCATAAGCATCCACGCTCTAATAACCATCACCTCCCCCCCAAAAAAATATATATATATAAGCGCACACCTCAAGGCCATAATATCAAATTGAAGCGCCCCCCTCTCCTACACTTTAATAAAGAGAAGGTATACAAGAAAAACGGCTTCTATCTTCGACTACAGCGGAATCTGTAAAGGAGCATAGTTTCTTTTGGGTTAATTAGTCATTTCCAGTTATATCTTTATCCAATAGCTTGCAGAATTCCTTTATGTGCGTTATGTCTTAGTTTAATTTTCGTCCCATTGCCGCGCTCTCTCCAGTTTGTTTAAAGAGCTTTAAAGGAAAACGTAATAATCGCCCCCATCGATTAAGCGCTCCCCTTTGAAGAACCTGTACAACCCCTGAAATGATCCAGAACCTAAATGATTCCCAAATGGGCCCCGAAATGATCCCAATTCTATATGGAATGATTTCCTGCCACAGAGTTATTACAAGTCAGCATTTCACTACAGTTTATGTGGAGTTTTAGCGCTTTTTGTCGTCTAATCGCTTTTATATCTACTTTCGCATCTTCAACACTATTTTAAAATTTTAAAAAGTGTTAAAACACCATTTTTAAAATTCATTATCCATGCAGTTTCAACACACTTTTTTGGAATTTAACACTTACGCAGTTTTCTCCATAATCACTTGAGTAATCATGCTAAAAAAGGTTATGCATTAAGATATTTAATTTCTTGTTGTTATCAGTTGCAGTTCATGGTGTTACTATTGTGTATTAAATAATATTTTCCTTAAAATCCAGTTCAAAGTGTAATCCCAAATTAAGGTCTTTAAAGAATACGAGCGAGTGAAGATTATTAGTGAATGTTGTACACTTTGTTCGATCCGTAGTTCTAGGATATCATTCCATTCCTAAAATCAATTGGGGATCATTTCGAGGTCGACGCAAGGAGAAATGGGTATCATTTCGGAGTCGATTGGGGGATTATCTCAGGGTTGGGGATCATTTCGGGTGCTGTACAAACAGCTCCGCATGCATCCTTTTAGCTGAAATTTGAAATAAGCGCTTGGGCGCTTATTCCAGGAAACAGGGTAATATGGCCACGGCAAGAATAAGACTGCAGATACCTGAATCTGAATACGGGGTCTGAATACGGTTAGGAGTCCATGTGCTTAAAAAATCAGTTGCAAGCACGGGCTATAATCTTATTTTTTACGATTCATTACGTTCTGGAAAGAGTAAGAATCCTGTAGACATTCCTGCGGTGTTGTAGCCCTACATGGAGTTTGCAGGTTTTCATAGCAAAATAATGATCTTAAGGTCGATAATGTTAGTCCATGATAATCAAATATAATGTTTTTAACATTTCTCAAACACTTTGCATGAAATGCATTTGACTTACTTTTTCTCTCATTTCATTTTAGACAAGTTGCAGCAACTCAATTTTCTCCAGCGGACGCGCGGAAAGCATTTCCGTGCTTTGATGAGCCTGCCATGAAAGCGACGTTTAAAATGACAATCGCTCATGATCCTATGCTAACTGCTCTTTCAAATATGCCTATTTATAATCACTCCAAAGAGATGGGTGGCTGGAAATACAGTGTGTTTCAAAAGTCTGTTGTTATGTCTACATACCTGGTAGCTTTTGCCGTTTGTGATTTCGATTTCAGAGAATTCATTCATAAGAACGTAATCAAGGTAAGTCACTGAATATGGGTGATTTTATAAGTAGGTGGAGCATGATAGTCCGGGTGAGCGTAGTCCTGAATAGGACATGTTGAAAGTGGCTGACGTTTAATTTCGACAACCTTTATGGTAGTCATCTTCAGAGTCAAAGTGACGGTTGTATCACGTCAGTTGATGGTACATGTAAACTCTGGTTATTGACCTGATTGGTCAATGAAGCCGCGATGTTAGGTAAGCAGTGATGTCATTGGCTATGAAGACTCGAAATGTCATTGGTGCGTTTCGATTCGTCTTTTGTCACGTAACAGTTTAATATGAATGATTTTGTTACCCATTTATTTTTCCTTTACATTCACTATCTTTCACCGGACAGTAGTAAACGGATGAAAAAGGGGTTTTTAATATCGAATATTTGCAGAAAACTGAACGTCTACAAATTTATACAAGAGCATTATTTTCAGTTAACATTCCTAATTCACTGACTGAGTGACACCCAATTTTTTTCAGACATTTTGAACAAATCGCGGGTGTCTGATATTGTGACACACTTATATTCTACCCTAAATAAGAAGGGTGAACTTTTCATTTACTGAGGAACTTGCAATTACCATATCAAATAAGTAAACTTTGTGATTGTCACAGAGTTACCTGATGAAATACAGGTGTTTTTCTTTCCCAAAAGAACCAAGTGTCAAGTGCCTTATATGTGATGTCTTGTAGGTAAGGATATATGCGCCTCCAGAGCAAATCGACCAAGCTGAGTATGCTCGGAAAATTTCTGACAGACTTTTTACTTTCTACGAGGAATACTTCGAAATAAAATACACGTTACCAAAGTCAGGTGAGTTAAGCTTTTCATAGAGAATTAAAGAAGTTATGATTGAAAGACGAATCCGTTAGCACAGGATCTTTGCCTCTTTCTTATTGTTAAACATATACGAAACTCTCTTTGCTTTGAATCCCGCGTTTCTTGTTCTGGTCTGTGCAACGATAATGATACATGTTGCTAACATCGTTTATCGCGGAAAGGTCGTAACTAAGGGCGCTTTCCAATAGTCAGAATTGGCCGGCCGGACCATGGCCGGACAAGTCATTTTCACAGTGAAAAAATGCTTCTTCAAAACGTTTTTTGTTGAAAAATCCTCTCCTTCTTGCATACTGTTTAAAATTTGACTGATCTGACTGAATAGTTATGATTAAAAGTTAATTTCTCATCACGACAGGAATGGTCTGGCTGGTCAGTTTTGACAAATGGAAAGCACCGAAGCATATTTGTGCAATTTTTGTTGTCGTGCATCAGTGTGTTATTTCCTTGCCGTGCCTGAAGAAATTTTGCACCAAATAGTTTGGTTTGCTCAATAAGCCGGTGCTTATTGAGTTTATTTCTGCGGTTGGTAAACGTTTGCAACTCAATAGTTTTCTTCCGTTTCTAAATAGTTTTCCTTTTACTATATTTACAGATATGATTGCCATCCCCAATTTTCTCTTTGGCGGAATGGAAAACTGGGGTCTTATAACTTACAGGGATTGGAACCTTCTTTTTAAACCAAATGCATCTTCTTCCGCTAATAAGCAGAGAGTTGCTGAGGTTGTCTCTCATGAGTTAGCTCACCAGGTAATATATTCTCTTACCGTGCCTAATTGAAATAAAGACCTGTAGATTTTAAGACGAGGCCGACTACGAGGAGGAGATTTTCTCACACCTAAGTAGCACTTGCGCGTGAGTCAGCCGGTCATTTTGGCGGGAAAACGGGATAGCCGCCGTCATTCTGCGACGATTTTTAACGGGAATCTCGTGTCAGCGGAAATGCGTCGATGAAATGATAAAAGTTTTATCATTTTGATATCGGAAGAGGGCTTAACCTCTTTCAATAACAATAAAAAAGTCAACTTTTCTGCACTGTATAAATCAGAAAGATCTGATTTAAAAGTGGGGCCGTTTCGGTGAGTAAAATATATTCCTATCTTTGGGTCTAATTTGGCCCAAAAATAGCCTTTTGATTGAGCTGTTTTGGCTCCAGGAGAGGCTGAATTGACACTTCAGGGCTGAAACGTAACAGATCTTCATTTTCAGTGTGGGGAAAAAATGCATAATCCGGGGTATCTATTTTTCGAGAATATGAGAAAAAACTTAACTTAAGTTAAATCTCGTCCTCGCATCTAAAGGTCTCTAATCTTTAGTAAATTTCCTCTACATAACTTTTTAACTAAGGCTTATCTTTAGTAATAAACAATTTGCAGTGGTTTGGAAACCTGGTGACAATGGAATGGTGGGATGATTTTTGGTTAAACGAAGGGTTTGCAAGTTTTATGGAGTACCCAGCGACTGATTACATTCATCCAGAATGGAAGATGGTATGTCTTTAACACAATAGAACTGCAAACAGTAGCCTAAAGGCTTGAGAAACTGTAAATCCTATTGTCGATTACCAAAGTTGCGAGGATTTCAAGATCGTCATCTTTGAACGTGAGAAGGGGAGAATCCCCTGTGTATTTCAGTGTAAACCTTGATTTTTTTTTTTGCTGAGGCACATTGAAGTTAGAAAAGTGGCTTTTATCAAGGTGTCAACCTTTTTGCAGCTGTTTGTCGCTGATTAGCGAGTTTTTCGATGCTGAAAATTGCCCTGTGCAAGAGTTCCCAGAGTTTTCCATAGTTACACCATAAATACTCGTCACTGAGCATGCGTACATTTTCAAATCTCGTAGTTCATGCTCAAAATTGAATACTTGTCTCTGAGCATGCGTGCATTTTCAAGTCTTGTGGTTCACGCTCAAAATTGCCCCAAATTTTATTTCACAGATTGATACTAGTTAGGGTATTTGTTTCCGTTTCCACTCACCAAATAAGAAAATGAAGCACATTTTGGGTGGTTTGAAGGCCTCTTCGCAGGAGAAAATTTAAAAAAAGGATTTTTTGGGAAAATATAAATCCAAAGAAATCGAGTCTTTTTAAATTTTCTAAAATAGTCTCCAACACGACTTTTATCATTAGGATGACCAGATAGTCGTTCTTGATCTGTCGCTAGCATTCGCAGAAGATGGCCTGGCAAATTCTCATCCAATCAGAGTCCCTATAGAACGACCAGAGGAAATCAGCCAGATCTTTGACGCCATCACCTATGAAAAGGTACATACAAAATGATTATATGTATCTACTTACATCCGCATTTTTTTTCTTACAATAGGACAAACTCAGTGGTCTAATAATTCCCTTACTAGAAATACGTATCTCGCCTGACTCCGTCGCGGAACTCTTTACTTATTAATAATATTCGTTCCCTCCTGAGGACTAGGAGAAACCGTAAAGGGGCGGCGGAATCACGGCTGTCTTGTTGATTTGTTAACATTGCCAATTACGATTCCTTAAGGCTATAGAACCTAAAGTTATCGAAAAGTTACTTGTAAACGACAAGCTCAACAAGATACACGTAGTTTCCACCACTCCTTAGACCTGGTCCCGACCAGATCTAAGGACCAGTCTTTACCTTGTAGAACTGCGGCACATATCGTTAAATCATCCGCATATTTACATAAACTAATAAAATCATCCTGTGAGATATCTAAATCATTGAGAAACATATTTAAAAAAAGGTAAGGGCCGCTAACACTAATCTGACAGCTGGTGCCCTTATTGACCGTTCTCCATGACTCCTTAAAAGTGTTGTGTATACCACCCTCTGTTGTAGTCTTTTAGAAAATCTACATACAGTTTTATAATGTAAGGATTAATAGAAAGCTTCTTTAATTTTGCAGCTAATAAGTTTTTCAAACGCTTTACTGAAGTCGTTAGCGTATAGAGACGGATAGAAATACAGTCCTATTCAAACGTTCACCCGGACGATCATACTCAACCTACCTTTTAATTGACTCCTGGGTTCAAACCTTTCTCAGTTATTAACAGTCTAGGTTGTCCAAATACCTCTGAATTGTGTGTTGGATGGCCAATAACGCTCCTGTGCAATTTCTCCCCTCTCTGTAAGCAAATTGGCTTGGGCTAAGGTGTTTTTCCACTATGCTCTTAGCGTGAGTCCCGCAAACGACTTTCTCGAAAACCCGTACCATGACCAAGGGGACATTTATTCCTCAATAGTCACCGTTCTCTTGAGGAATTTTAACTTTTGGGTAAAGGGTTGATGTTAGCCTTTTTCCAGGACCGAGGCCACGAATGCGTGGAGATACAAAGATTCCAAATCCTTGCGATGACAGGTGTGAGTATTTTCGCTGTGTTCCTTGCAAATCCAGAGTGGATCTGGACCGATAGCGGCTCGCTTTATTTTTCTGAGAGCGTTCCAGAATTCATGCTCGGTTGTCTCAGGAATATTTATATTGCTACCAATAGCAATAGGTGAGGGGTTGACGTAGGTATCATCCATACAGAGTGTTCCAAAATAATCATTTAACTGTGCCAAACTTTCGTTATCGAGAGCCGCGATACTGTGAGTTTTACAAAATGCGGCGATGTGACAAAGAGTCAACCTCTTTCCACCAGCTACAGCTACCTAGTGGGGCAGTAAGCAGGTGCCTCATGTTCCCACTAGCACTGATCAAGTGAGAAATACTTTCGTTTAAGAGTCCCAAGCGATCACTATTCGAGCTGGAGATCCTGGCCTCAGTTTTGAGGAGCGATCGCGATTTCACGAGAGGCGACCTCCACGGTGGGTCTCGTGAAGACACATTGACGTTTCTCAGAGAATAACAGTTATCCATGTGGTCATGAATAATTAACTCAAGTTTGGTTACAGCCTTGTTCACATCCGTAGCTTGAAGGACTTCTTCCCAGTTCTCCTAACGAAAGTTTTCGGTGTTCACGCGATCGCGGATAGAAATTTTACTGTGGATTGGTTTTAACTTCAATCCCGGAGGAAAAATAGCCGCTAAATAGTCAGTTTAATTAGCATATTCAGAAAAGGGTAACATTTTTGTTTTGTCCAAACAAGACTTCCCCTTGTTGGGAAGTCAACAAGCGCACTGAGATCCGACAAAAGCTGCATTTTACTAAGATCGAGTTTATTCACGTTGCCACTGCATACAAAAAAACCGTGTCTGGATTGGTGTCAAGCGCTTTGTCAGCCAAATCCACTATGTAATTGATGAGGTCAAGCTCACTGTACATGTGTTTTGGCGGATGGTACAAACCACAAAGTGAAAGCCGATGTCCCGAGGATAAAAAAAAGAGCCAAACAGATTAGTTCGATTAACTTTGAGTATTGAACGTTTATATTTCAAATACTAAACTTTGAAGCTCAAGTGCAAACGTTACTGAAATACATTTTCGACATATTTTCCGTACAATTTTCATGTCTCTCTTTTAGAGTGCATGTATTCTGCGAATGTTAGAGGCTTATCTTGGTAAAGAGACTTTCAGGAAAGGATTAGTGGTGAGAAAATAACTTAATTAAAATATATAACATCGTAATGATGATCAAAAAAGGAAGTACTGTGAGGTATAAACCAAGGGAGGTATAAGGACCGTTGGTATAAAGTAATGTTCGAGCGGTGATTTATTTTAAATAAGGGCTTCGTTCATGCAGGATTATGTAGCTCGGTTCATAGAAAGCCCTTCATTCAAACCTAATGGTCGCAGCTTTGTTTTATATCCTGTGAACAAAAGGTTTATCTTTTGCATGGCTATTAGCGTTTACGAAGTCGTTCGCGTCGCTGGTTTTACAAAGAAACCCGCTACGCGACTGATAAGCGAAGCGATCGACTTCGTAAATGCTAAAAGCCATGCAAGAGAGAAATCCCTGCTGGTGTTTTAAAGCTTGGACCAAATTATTTTCGCGTAAGGGTTATAACCTAATTTGGTCGTACAACCGAGGCGATTATCAGTCAGAGTAAGTTTCTGAATTCACTGCCCGTGCCTCACAAAAGGCTTGACCTTTACTTGTCAAGATGACAACTTAAATAATCCTCGGTTGGTACTTTGTTCTACTGAAAATAAAATACATTGGCAAATTAGGTTGTTTTGTCTGGTTTTTTTTTACAGCCTTATAATCGACAGTTTCTTTCCCACATTATTTATGCCCCACGAGATAACCAATACTCAGTGAAGTCATGCCAATAATTTTTGCAGTAAGACATATCAAGGGGATTTGAAATGGTACTGTGTGTTCAATATGGTTTTGTTCCATGTTTGATATTTTCAGCGCTACCTCAAGAGGTTCGAGTTCGCCAATGCAAACACGCAAGACTTGTGGCAAGTCTTAAGAGAGGTGAGTACGTTGGCCTGGAGCGTTTCGCGCATTAACTTTAAATATCGTTTTTCTCGCAAAAACCGAGGATGCATGACATCTTTGTCGAGGTGGTCCAAGAATAATTGCAGCTAAGGAACTAGTATTAAATCAAAATAAAACTAACAATGGCCAAACGTGCGCTCTTCTGGTAGGGGTTAAGAACAAATTGTCGACTAGAAAATTTGCCCCCTGGCCTTGTGTCAAAAAAGAACACAAAATAACAATGAGATCATTTTCACTACTTTGAAGCTTGGAATAGCTATCATTGCCTTGACTGGAACATACTCCATTCTAAATAATTACAAATTGTGCGTATAGGAGAGCTGTGTCCAGGATGGATGCGTGGATGTCAAGCACATGATGGACACGTGGACTCTTCAGATGAACTACCCAGTGGTGGAAGTCCGACATTCCAGCGGTGACCAGTACTTAGTCTCCCAGGAGAGGTTTCTTTACTACACTGATACCAATACAACTTCCAAATATCAGTCACCATTTGAGTGAGTATAGAATGAATAAATAGATTCCCGTTCCTGTACTGTTGATATCAGGGATTAAGACGGTCTGCAACGCAGGCTAGCAAAAGGGTACTCAATGTAATAGCGTATTTTATCAAAGTAGGCGGGGGGGGGGTACTCTTTAATGTTTTGATTTACACTTGAAAATTTTTTCAGTTTGACATGTAAGCTCGGTGGAGTGTGCACGGAGTCCTATAGCTAAGAACTATGAGCAAACAGTCATGGTGATGACCCTACACACATAGTACATACAGGGGCCGATGAGAATGTATATACTATATTCCCCATAAGTCACCGTCACGGATGGAACTGCTCCTTATGTGCTACTGTTTTACTTACAGTTTTATGTTTTCTTGCAGTTACAAATGGTTTGTACCATTCACCTACATTACATCGTCCTCGCCAGACAAAATTATTTCCAAAGAAATTAATATGACATTTGGTAAGTGGAATCATCTTGTTCTAGAACACACCTTTCTCTCGGCTTTTGCAGCTGGAACTTCTTTTAAGTATTAGGAAAATCTATTTCGAGTTGACTTGTAAATGAAAGGGGAAGACACAATTTTGAAATAACTCACGACAAGACGAAGAAATCTCGTGGAGAAAGACAGAAAATCATAGAACTTTTTCACATGACGTCACGGCGGCCATATTGGTGTACAAAACAATGAAACGGCGGCCATGTTGGTGTCCAGAGAAAATGCTTTGGCGATTGAATTCTTTTAAAACTTTCTTTTGTTCTAAGAAATTTACATATATAGCCTTTGGTCATGTGGGTGAAAAAAAAATATATTCCGCACATTCTAAACGATAAAGACCTATCCTTGCAAAAAAGCTGGATTGTTTTTCTTACTGTTTCTTCATATGAATGGTTCGATACTTGCGACAGATCCTATGACCTAAATGCGTTTGACAGTCTATGTCTTAGGTTGGTTATTTTCAATGTGGTTAACCTTGTATTAACGGAAAGCAAAATCTTCTAGAATGAAAGACTTGCTCAATTGGGGTCCGTTTGCCGGGAAGCTAGTGCTACTGGGACGCTGCACAACTTGGACGTCCCGGCCGGCTAAGGTTTCCGTCCCAAGTTTAACCTGCGATCAGGCGTTTTTTTTTTTGCCTGTTTTTTTTTTCAAGGGCGGACGAGGCGAGAGGAAAAAAAAATTAACGCCCTCTTCCCGTGAGACATCAGACATATAGGGATAATAGGGAGAGGGCATGATCTCAGGCTATCCCAAGTTCAACTCCTGGGTCATGATTGCAAAGGGCTAACTGGTTGCAAACCTCCGTGCTGACGCTCTTAGTCTGTGTGGGAGGCCGTATTTGTTTTTCTCCTACGAGTTGTGGATTTAATCCTGTTGTATTTCCTCAGGTTATTTGATTATCGTTATTTTAATGGAGTGACTTTAATTTAAGTTAGCCAGAGCAGCCAAGTGCACTTCCACTATCAACAAAGAATGATTTGGACTTTTATCTATACTTCAGAGAAAATAACATGGGATGGACTCGGATGGATCAAAGGGAACGTTGGACAAAAAGGATTTTACCGGGTGAACTATGATGACAAAAACTGGGATGCGTTGGCCAGTGCTTTTAACACTAGCCACAAGGTAAAGCATGTTAGCTTGGAAAGCTTATGTAAATTATGGTTCCAAAAGCAATGAATCAACAGTTTCTTACTGAAATTTAATGTAGGCCTCAATTGCTTGCTATATCTTAATACTCTAAGTTATTTTGGGTCGACTACAGGCTCGATAAATTGTTTAAACTTTGCAAGGATCACTGAATTATGTAGGTTCGATATTTTTTTATTATTGGCAGTTTACCTTAGGTTTTACAAAGCGTGGTTAGTTGTGTATCAAAATTTTCCGTAAAAGGCGCCCGTTATTGTACTTTTACAGGCCGAACAACGAAAAAGCGCGCGCACGTCCTTGATATTTCTTCCGCGCTGCCCCCCCCCCCACCCCCCCCAAAAAGGCGCTTACTACGCAGGTTATCAAAGAAATTGTTGGAGGGGTCGTTTCGAAGCTGATTCAACTATTCGCTCTTAAGGAATGATATCAGCTTCTATCTTTTGTCATGATATTTACGCGATGTGATGATTGTTTTGAATTGTTTTTCACTTATTGATATCCGTAGGTGTTAAATATCTCAGACCGTGCTGGTGTTATTGATGATGCGTTTGAACTAGCAAGGTAAGGTCCACTCGGTTCTACTGTTATAACCATCTGGCACTTCAAAAGGTGATATCAGTCAATTCCCAAATTGTTTTTGTATTGTAGGAGTGGTAAACTAAATTACACCAAGGCACTGGAATTGACGTCATATTTACAAGCTGAACAAGAATATGTTCCGTGGGAGGCAGCCATCAAGAGCTTTAACTTCATCAGAAGCATGTTAACACCTACCAGACCCGCTTACAAATATCTGCAGGTGAGTTATAGCCTTTTTCTGCACTCATTTAACAGACTGGGGTGATTTACTTTATTTATGCAGTTAGTAAACCGTTTTAATCGTTTCTGACATATTGCATTGGGCACCGAAGGTTTATTAAAAAAGCTGAAATATTGTTAGAGCTATCATCATCATCATCATCATCATCATCATCATCATCATTGTCTTCGTCATAATTATCTTTTTTATCAGGTTCCACGTCATGATCAATTAAATGTCTTCATTACTCCTAAGTAGCCTTTTCAATCAGTTCAATCTCTCTTCATCAACGAAATATATTGCATCCCATAAGTCAGTCATGCTAATTTACTCGACAAAGAACTGTAGGGAGGCTATTTTCACTTTTATTCACCTAATCATTTGATTATTTTTGTAGAAAATGCGCGATATAGATGTTAAATATTATTATTTTTCTTATTCTTATTCTTCTTATTATTATTAAAAAGAAAAATGACTAATATTTGCGTTTCCTGGAACGTTTGCATCTGTTATCATCATTATCTATTATGTCTATATCCGCGCAGCAGGCGTAGGTCGTTTGTATCTGTTGTCTCTGTTTGTATCTGGATTCAGAAGGAATCCATCAGGAAAATGAGTAATTTTAGTTTTCAGTGGACAAAAACCTTTTACCAGAATAATTTGAACAATATCGCATTCTTTTTTACATTTTTCAAAGGCTATAGATGTAATTACTATAGTTGTCTGTAATAACACCAAAGAAAAATTTCTTATGAGTGCCTGAGAACAAAATGACATGTTACACTTGAAATGTTTAGAATGTGCCTGTGTTCTCACAATTTTTTTGAAAATTGGCATTTGTTTTCCCGGGCCCCCATGAGAAATAGTCTTTAGTGTTAACACAGATAACTAATTATGTCTATAGCCCTTGAAAAATGGAAAAATGAATGCGATATTGTTTAAATTATTCCGGTACAGGATTTTAGTCCACTGAAAATTAAAAGTACTCAATTTCCTAATTTACACTACTACATAAGAAATTACTGCAATTTGATTGGCTTAGAGCAGTGGTATTTCAGCTTAATTTGAAATACCTACAT